CAGAGAAAAAAATGTGACAATGAGTGTGTATATGTCCATGAATGACTGAAAAATTGTGCTGAACACTGGAATTTGACACAACATTGTAAAATGATTATAAATCAATAAAAATGTTAAAAAAATAAATTAAATAAATAAATAAGCTAATTTAATCCTCAAAACAACCTTACAAAATAGGTATTTTTATCCCTGTTTTACTATCCCCATGAGAAAACCAGACTTGGAAAAGTTGAGTAACCTGCCTTGGGGCACAAGATTAATTGCATAAACTATGTGTCAGTTTCTCTCCAACTTTATATACATTAGTTTATTTAATTGTCACAATAATTCAGTGAGGTGTTATTATTTAGCCTCATTTTATAGATGAAGAAACTGAAACTCAGAGAAGCTGAACCACTTGCTCAAGACCCCACAGACAGCAAATCATAGAGACAGTAAATATTGGTTCTGAGGCTCAGGTTCTTAACTATAGATCTATATTATTTTCTGTGTTCCTGCTAGGAAGCATAGGTGATGTGGATGAGAAAATGTGGGCCAAAATTTGGTCTTGGATTCCAACCAGAGTTTTGACTTTTTGCCAAAAATTTGACCTATCTGATGACTTCCAAGCTTTTTCTTTTCAAGCTGGAAAACACTTGTGCAAATGAAATAATTTACAAATGAAGAAACTTAGGTTTAAAGAATTAAGAACTCTTCTGTCTCTTTTTAAATTTATATCTTTTGGAGGGGGGATAAATTGGGTTTATTTATTAGTATTCTTTTTTAATGGAGGTACTGGGGATTGAACCCAGGACCTTGTACATGCTAAACATGCACTCTGCCACTGAGCTATACCCTTCCCTCAACAATTTCTCTTAAGGTGTCTTAAATGGTCAAACATAGTCTGTCTGAGTTAGTCTGATAAAGCTCAGTTGAGTCAGAAAGTGACTAAGCCAGAAAGAGATATAAACAGCAAATGCTAGCTGCCATCAACATGGACCATTCATTGCAGCCAAATCAATCTCCTCATTGTTTGAGGAGTTTAAAACTGGACTTGCAGGTGACTGTGGGTCATACAGAAAAAGGAGTCCCCCAGCTAGAAATACACAAGTGGCAGTCTAGGAACTCAGGTGAGAGGTTGGACCATCAGACCATCAGACCATCAGACCAAAGCCATGAGAAAGAGTCAGTTCACAGAAGAAAGAGTACCAGAAAAGCAGATGAGGAAGGCTGGAGACATACATGGTCTGGAACAGGAGGCGGCCAGGAAAAGCCAGGGAAGGAATGCCTGGAAACATTGGCAGAGGTCCACAGGAAGGAAGAGCTTC